GCGCTCCAGAGGGCGGTAAGATGAGAGACCCTGGGAACGAGGTTGGGCGCTGCTCTACTCAAAAAATCAAACTCTTCTTTAGAACACAGTATCCATGTATACAGCGCTCTTCCGCAGCAATAAAGTGAAACAAAATAGGTAGGAAAAACAAAATTTCAAAAAAGAAAATGGCAAATGTACAAATGTTTCGAGCTGTAGGTCCCGCCGTAGGTGTCATGTGGAATTGTCCAGGAGCGACTGACCAGGAGCGCCGCATGAATTAAATTATGAATTTACGTCACCGACATGGTTCCCCCGCACGCATCCAGCCGTCTCTTTACGGGGAGGAACGTAGACCGGACACGAGAGCGCGGCGGAAATCGAGCCTAATGCAAAAACCACCATAAAGTAGTACTTTCAATTAAATGTTTATAACAAGTTACACCTTTATCAGACTGGACCAACAGGCCAACGCTTTACTTCTGATTTCTGTATCACAAAGGGACAAGAAAATTGGTAGACCATGTCAGGCTAACACCTACCCCTCCAAAAAAGCAACATTTTGTCAAGTTGCCCGAGCTGTTGCCAGCACCCTTTCAATACCCCAAAGTAGAGAGGAAAACTGTAAGATTTCAGTTTCTTGTCCAAGAACACGACATAATGAACGCAGAGTTAAAGCTAGGCCCAATGCATTTTTTAATCACACAATACATACTTTCTTCATCTGCACTGTGTGCTTGATCATGATCCACGGCGAAGTCAACAGCATCATCACCATCCTGGATCTGCTTAGCCTTGTCGTGCGATATTTTTGCCTTTTCTTCTCTGGGCCTTTGTTTTGCAATGATTTCAGCTTGAGATTTTTCTTTTAACCTTTCTGATGAAGGCCGCTTTCCCTTTAACTATAAATATTGTTTTTAATTAAATAATGTTCTTAAGATTATTTACAGAATATTAAACGTACGTGTTCGGGGTCAAAGGTTTCCAAATCGCTACAGCGCTTTCCTTAGTTTCTGTAGTATGCATGAAGCGACTTGGAGTACTAATTGCCCTGGAGGGAATGGTTTCACTGTTCCCTAAGATTAATGCACACTTAAGCATCTATGTTTACGCTCCTACATTATCCAGGAGGCTCGATCTCTCGATCTCCCAGAAACACACTGAATATCCCAGGCTGCTGCACGAGTTATCCATTCTGAGGAAAGTACTTGGAGTATCAACAGTATGTATTTTTAGTGATCTGTTTTCCCTTATTTTGGAACAACGTTTGGATCTTTAAAATAATTAAGGTTGAGTAAGTGTAGCCTCCATTCCAGATGGAAATTTTACCCTGTGACTAGCCCTCGATATTATATACCGGTGGTATGTGGTGTCTGCGCAGGCAGTCAATGGAGCTTTCTTTTGGTCCAAGTTTTTTTTTGGAGTCAAAAAGTTGATTCACACAGAATTCTTGATCTCACGGATTTAAACATTTTTAGATTGGGATTTCTAACGACAATTATTTTCTACAACACTTACATCTGCTTTTCGCTGCCATGCATTGTATGTCTCTCTTGGAGTAGGAAGCTCTTTTAGGCACTGCTTTTTAGACTTTAACGCCTCAATTTTCTTGTCTAGCTTCTGAATAGAAAGAGATATTAAATGCATGATTTTAAAATTATAATAAATTCTGCTCGTTTTTAATAATACAAAATCACTGACTAAAAGATATTTTACGGAGTAAGATTTAAAAACTAATTTACAGTAATCTGCAAAGGGGAATTAAGAGTCCCTGTCCATAAAAATGGAAAATAACTCGGCAAGGGTCGAAAATTCGATTTCGCTCATATTTTCATGGTAGATAGGCTAGGGCATGA